TGGTGGGGCCGGAGCGCCGCTCTCACGTCCTCCCCGGAGCTCCGCCGCCGCCATTTCGCGGCGCTCGCACAAAGGCCTCAGCTGGGGGTTTGCGGCGGTGCTCAGACAAATCCGTCGTTGTTAGGGAAGGCTCAGCAGCATTATGTCCACCTCTTTTGTTTTTTTATTGTTTTTTTTTTCTTTCCTTTTTTCTTTTTTTTTCATTTTGATTTGTGGTGCCCTCTCTTTTTGGGAGGAGAGATGGAGTTAAATCTGTTGTCTCTGCCTTGTCTGCGTATCACCGAATGACACCGATGCTTTGTTTACAGGACTGATGTGCTGATGAAGGCAGAGGTTTGTGGTCCATTATATGCACCCATTAAAATCAGTAGGTTGTTGCACGTCCTTTTAAGAATGTGGTGTTGGTTACTTTCATGTTTTCTCTTTTGAAGTAGCTGTGTTCTGTTGATCCATAGCCTCCCAAATTATTCCTTCTGTGATTTTTTTTATTTCTATAGTTTTTAATCTGCACTTTTTGAAAACATCATTTTAATGATTTTTGTCATCTTATTCAGTTTTTGAGATCTAAAGAAAGTAAACGTCTCTTAACTCAGAAAATGTTTGAAAAATTCCCACTGCCCCTTCCTTTAATCGTTTTCTTCTGTCTTTCCATCTGTCTGCAGCAGTTTTTTCATGATGTGGAAATGTGAGCTATTTACTCCTTTTAGCAGTTATAAAGTCTTCAGATGACACTGACACATGGCATCTTATCAAGATAATTAATCTGCCCTTGTAAACAGCCATATCTACAGAGTAATGTAGCTATGCTTCATATTTCAGTCAGAAACTCTTCAAGTATAGTTGCTACCACTAACTGTAGAAGTAGGCTTTTAAAATGTGATTCTAAGGTGTGCTTGGTCTCCAATATTTGAATAACTTCTGATAGTATATACTAGTAACTAGGTATTCCTCTTCAATATCTACTTATTCTGTAACAGTTCCTGGGACATCTTGGTTATTTTCTTTGTATTTCAAGGTGAAAATACACTCAAGTAAATGAAATGAAGTTCAGAAACCAAGTCAGGATGATGAGGCTTGGCTTGTTCTGCCCAGACAAGGCTCCAGGGTGACCTTATTGCAGCTTTCCAAAACTTAAAAAGGAGCTTATTAGCAGAAAGTAGATCAGCTTTTTTTTACATGGGTAGATGGAGACAGGACAAGGGGGGATGGCTTTAAACTAAAAGAGGGGAGATTTAGATAAGGTGTTGGGGGAATTACTCGCTCAGTGTGGCGCTGGCACAGGCTGCCCAGAGAGCTGTGGGTGACCCATCCCTGGTGGTTCAAGGCCAGGTTGGATGGGGGCCTATGCAGCCTGAGCTGATGGGAGGCAGCCCTGCCAATGGCACGGGGTGGGACTGGGTGGGCTTTGAGTTCTCCTTCAATCTAAGCCATTCTATGATAATTCTCCAGCAATCCTCACTGCACTTCGGTCTTTTTTGTCTCTACTTGTTGTAAATTAATGGGCTGTTTTTGTTTGTTTTTTTCTGGAGTTCTTGGTCTTGGGAAGGTAAACTGATTCCAAGATGATGCTCAGTTTATAGGTAATAGACACTGACAGAACTGTATTTCTGACTTGAGACCACAGAATAAGAGTATTTTCTAGCAGCATTTGTGCAGCGCGCTCTCCTGCTATTCCACCCTTAGCACTCCCAATGTATACCTGTCTGTAAAGTCGCAGCCATGTTTGTACTGCAAAGGAGTTCACAGATGCTCAGAGAGCAGCCGCTGCTTGGCAGAGCTGATCTCAGTGCTTTTCGGCATGATTTTTATGGCAAAAGAAAGACATAAATGTGGGGAGTTAAGTATTCAAATGGGCCACAGTGTGAAAAGGTAACAATTTTGTTGTTTTCATCAGAATCTTTTAGAAAAATTTAGAAATCCTAAAGAATGCAGTGTGGTTGTGATTTTAGCAGTTTAATCCTTTTTGTCTCCATTTAGGTATGCCAGATGGGTTTCTTCTATAGGCCTATGCCACCTATCTCGTGTGATACCCAGAAATTCTGGCTTTGAATGCACTCAGAGGTTGCAAAAGAAAAAGGCATTATTATAACACTGATATGAACTGTGTTGTAGTCCTAGCTCCAATCAAAAATTAATTATTTTAAAAGTACATTATAACATTCTAATGTACCAAAGATCAGTTTATAATTGAAATTTATGATGTTTGTAAAAAAAAAAAAAATTAAAGAAAAAACGTGTATTTTTTCTGAAAATACAAGGTACAGCCATAGTGCATAATACTTTCTCTGTCATCACATACATGTGTGTATATGTATGTGTATATATATATAAGCACATCAGAATTCTACACACCAAAAAATCACTTCAGTTGGTTTAAACAATTGTATTTTCCTCATGGGTAGTAAAACCACTGCAAGAAGAACAGAGCTTGATTTTCTGATTCATACTGAATTCAAAACTCAGTTGTAAGTCCAGGTTTAGTTTCATTACTAAGAATTTCTTTGTCTTCGAAAGAAATGAATCCAATATTTGTTAGTTAAAAAAAAAAGTCAATGTTGCTTCAATTTGCTGATTAAATCAGACCTTTCATCCTATTTAATGTGCTGGAAACCAAGCTATCTAGGTCAGAAGAGCTTATTTAAAACGCTTAACAAAGATGACCATGCCAGAGCCAGTATACTTTTTCAGGATGTAGCTGTAGCTGCTATGAGTGTAGGCTATTACATAAGTATTCAGGTATATTTCATTTTGATGGGGAGAAAACAAAAAAGGTGGAGAAAACCCTCTCAGCTTTCTCCCTGAGAGAAAACTCTCTCAGCTTTTTGTTTTGTTTTGTTTTCCCCCGGAGACTGCTGTCTGTACCTATAACCCCGCGCAGGCAGCGGGAAGCACCGCGCGCCCTCTGCTGCGCCCACACCGCCGCGGGTGGAAGCCGAGCTTCGCCGCTGAGCTGAGATTGAAAGAGCTCACTGTGATTGGTTGATGGGATTTGAATTGTTAGCCAGTAGCAGCGTGGGATTTGCGATGGACCAATTACAGAGCCGTTCGTACGGAGCGATACGTCACGGGCTCTTTTATCCAATCAGAGTACAGATAACGAAGGCCATAGATTTGCATACGGCCCCTATAAATAGGCGAGCAGTGCCAGCAGCCGGCACTCCGCTGCGCCGAAGAGATCGTGGAGGAATCGCCATGCCTGAGCCGGCCAAATCCGCGCCCGCCCCTAAGAAGGGCTCTAAGAAAGCGGTCACCAAGACCCAGAAGAAGGGCGACAAGAAGCGCAAGAAGAGCCGCAAGGAGAGCTACTCGATCTACGTGTACAAGGTGCTGAAGCAGGTGCACCCCGACACGGGCATCTCGTCCAAGGCCATGGGCATCATGAACTCGTTCGTCAACGACATCTTCGAGCGCATCGCCGGCGAGGCATCGCGCCTGGCGCACTACAACAAGCGCTCGACCATCACGTCGCGGGAGATCCAGACGGCCGTGCGGCTGCTGCTGCCCGGCGAGCTGGCCAAGCACGCGGTCTCCGAGGGCACCAAGGCGGTCACCAAGTACACCAGCTCCAAGTAGAGCGGTCCTGATCCTCATTTTAAACGAACCCAAAGGCTCTTTTCAGAGCCACCATTTATTCTAGTAAAAGGGCTGCGTTACTTTTTCTGAGGAGCATAGCGTGGGTTTTTAATAGAGTGAAACGAATGTGAATGCTTGAGCTGTAAATAACAAAAAATAATAGCTTAATTGAGCATTTTGGAGGTCTCGGTTCCGAATTAATTGAGCAGTAGCAACTCACGGAGTTAACGGGGTTGCTCTGTAACCGTGCTATTACTGCAGCACGGTACACACGGCTCCAGCAGCAGCCTCTGCTGCTCTCTGCTGCGACGACCCCGTCGGGAAGGTGAGTGCTTTGTTTTGCTTTTGATTCTCGTGGTAAATGTTATGCCAAGGATATTTTTACGTACTCTAGTAATCTATTCCTAATAGAAAATCAGCATTGCTGTTAAAAAAAAAAAAAAGTTCGCGTTACATACATTGTAGCAGCCCACCCTTAAAAAATAATCTTATTTCTCCCTCTTTCATTCATTAATAAACGGATGGAAAGCAGTCCCCTAGGCGACGCTGTTTCGAACCAGCGCTTCCTTTTCCCTTTCCCCTGTCGCGCACTCCATCATCGGACGGGGAAGGACCGCACACCGCTTCTCCACTGGGCAAAAGCAGCCATGGGGCCGCGCAGGCGGCGGTTCCCGCACCGAACGCCGGGGACGGGATGGGGCGGAGACGAGCGAGCGGCTCCGTCGGCGCACGGGACGGGAGCGGGGGCAGTGCCGGGAGGGGGCGGTGCTGAAGCGAACCAATCACAGCCTAGCGCGGGTTATTTAAACCCCTCCCCAAGTAGGAGCGCAAGGCTGGCACCGCCCCGCCCGGCTGGGCTGCGTCCGTCAGCGGGCGGGGAAGCGCCGCTGCTTGCGCCCTGCTCCCGAACAGCACGTAGCCCTTGACGGAAGGGGCTCTCAAACTCCCGTGCGAGTTGCAGCTAAGGCGCAAGCTGAATCTTCGCAACTGAGATGATTAGCTGCGCTGCCGCGGTTCCCGCAGCATTCCAGCTCTTTTTGAGACTAAGTGGGTGGCTCTTAAAAGAGCCTTTGGGTTTATTTAAACGAGCAGACTCGAATTTCTTCTGTCATCCTACTTCTTTTTGGTTGCTGCCTTCTTTGCCTTGGCTGCCTTGGGTTTGGCTGCCTTGGGCTTGGCAGCTTTGGGTTTCACTGCCTTTGCCTTGGCCGGGCTCTTGGCAGCCTTCTTGGGGCGGCCAGCCTTAGCAGCCTTCTTGGGGCTCTTGGTTGCCTTCTTGGTGGCAGCCGCCGGCTTCTTAGCTTTCTTGGGGCTTTTCTTCACTGCTGCTGCCTTCTTGGGCTTCTTGGCAGCAGCCGCGGGCTTCTTGGCCGGTGCCTTCTTGGGCTTGGCCGCAGGCTTCTTCTTAGTCGCTTTCTCTTTGGTCTCGCCCGGCTTTTTATTTAGCTTAAAAGAGCCGGAGGCGCCGGTGCCCTTGGTCTGCACCAGGGTGCCCTTGCTGACGAGGCTCTTGAGCCCCAGCTTGATGCGGCTGTTGTTCTTCTCCACGTCGTAGCCGCCGGCGGCCAGCGCCTTCTTGAGCGCGGCGAGGGAGAGCCCCTTGCGCTCCTTGGAGGCAGACACGGCCTTGGTGATCAGCTCGGTGACGCTGGGGCCCGCGGGCTTGCGGGCTTTGGCGCCGCCCGCCGCCTTCTTCGGCTTCTTGGCGGCGGCCTTGGCGCCGGGCGCAGACACCGCGGGCGCGGCAACGGGCGCGGTCTCCGACATGGTGACGGCCGTCGTCCACAGATCGGGGGGAACCACTGGGCCTGGAGCAAGTCGGCGGCCTCGTATTTATAGAGCGGAGCCGCGCGGTGATTGGTGCGCTGCAGAGCCCGCCCCGCCGCACGGCGCAGAGCTCCCTTCTCCCCGCTCATTTTGTGTTTCTTAAGAGGCGAAAAAGCGCGTTTTTTCTACAATTTCCGCCACCGATTCGCCCCAAGTCACAGCGGCGCGGAGGGCAAAGGCTGCTGTTGCCACGGGCGGAGTTTCTCTCCGGAGAGGCGAAGGGTGAGTTAAAAAAGAGCCGATAAACCCCGAGTCCTGGACCTGGGCAGACCTCGGGAGACAGAAACTTTTGTTTTTCCTTTTAAATAAAATCCGCACCGTGAGAAGCTGCACCCCCAGAGCAATGAATTATTGTTCTTTAAAGGGTCTTCTCTTACTCTGAGCCGAAACCCAGGAGCTGGGGTCGTTATTTTCATTGCAAATTGATTTCAAAGAGGAGGAAGTAACACAGGCTCATACAGAGCACTGAATATGGATTAGAAATTAGCTCCTTTGTCCCCAGTCCTTTGACCCATTAAAAATGATAAAAATCAATTAAATGAGTGCCTGATGCTGCGAGGTGAGAAGCAGCCTGACATCCCCTGAAGGACTTCTCTTGCTCCAGGAGGAGATGGCCTCCGAGCACTGCACTGCACTGCTGGTGCACCCTCATACAGGGATCCATCCCCGCTGCTGTGCCACAGAGGCACTGAGCACCTCAGCCAAGGGGCTGACACGGAGGCAGATCTCACTGATCACTGTGGTCAGTACTCGAAATTCCGTCCCTCAGATGTGTTTTTATTTTAGTCCGGTTTGGTGGACATGTGAGTCAGCGTGACTGAGGCAGACACTGCTGCAGGTGGTTTCCCGTTCCCCTGCGTTGTTATTGTGGCTCTCCCTGCAGAGTGCACCCTGCATACCCCTCAGTTACCATGCAGAGCCCAACTCCCATCCTGGAAGCAGTGTCAGAAGCATCTGCAGCTCTGCAGGCCCTGTTACTCTGCCAGCAGGAGGGGGAGAGCCTCTGGCAGACACCATCGAGGCCACAGAACAAATGCATTTAATTTCTCATATCAAGAAGTGCTCATTCCAATTCTCCGTACTGTTGTTTTTTCCTATATCAGAAAATGCTCATTCTACTTCTCTGCACTGTTTCCATTGCTGTCTGCAACCCTTGTTTTTCCCACAGCCACCTATAACCATTTGTGGCACTACAATGTAACATCGTTTTGTTTCCTGTAATTTCTTGTTTTATTAAAATACACTCTCTGAGATATGAATGGTGATGTCTGTTTCTGTCTCCACATCTCTATTACAACGTTCATTGCTGTGGATAAGGTGCAGTCAAAGCTGGCAGCGGTTCTCCTTGGCTCACACAGCTCTTACCCAGGTGTAAGGCAGCAAAGAGGCACAGCTTGAACAAAGCCTTGACAAAACTCCATTAAAAATGAACTTGGAGTGCCCAGAGGAGGAATGACTGAGCCTGTAGGCAGTGCTGGGGCAGGCCTGCTCCCTAAGGAGACCAGCGAGCTCTCAGCTTGACACAGACTGGAAGAACCTTGCTGATGGTTCTTGCAGCAGTATTCAACTTCTTGTCTTTCTCACCTCTACCAAACAGATTTCTTTAACACAAAATCTAACTTTGTGGTCTTTTATCAAGCATTCAGCTTTTAGGTTACTTTATCACATCTGTTTACCCTAACATGCTATCTTCATGCTAACACCTGACTTCTAGCAGCAAAACCAACACAAACATTTTTGGGATCTGCAGCTCCTTTATGAGGAAGTGGGTGGCTCTGAAAAGAGCCTTTGGGTTCCTTGGACATGGGATCACTCCTCAGCTTTCACTTGGCCTTAGCCTTGTGGCTGTCGGTCTTCTTGGGCAGCAGCACGGCCTGGATGTTGGGCAGCACCCCGCCCTGCGCGATGGTGACCTTGCCCAGCAGCTTGTTGAGCTCCTCGTCGTTGCGGATGGCCAGCTGCAGGTGGCGCGGGATGATGCGCGTCTTCTTGTTGTCGCGGGCCGCGTTGCCCGCCAGCTCCAGGATCTCGGCCGTCAGGTACTCCAGCACGGCCGCCAGGTACACCGGGGCGCCGGCGCCCACCCGCTCCGCGTAGTTGCCCTTGCGCAGCAGCCGGTGCACGCGGCCCACGGGGAACTGCAGCCCGGCCCGCGACGAGCGCGACTTGGCCTTGGCGCGCGCCTTCCCGCCCTGCTTCCCGCGGCCCGACATCGCTGCTAACAGCACGTCCAACCACCGCCCTGCTAACGCGACTCACGTGTCGCTACGCCCACTCCCCTTCCCCTTTTATAGCCTCCCGAAGCAGCCCGGCTCGCTTTCCGATTGGCTAGCGAGCTCTGTCGCGAGCTCTGACCAATGGCGCCGCGGATCCAAATCCACCCAATGGGCGGCGGGCGGCTACCCTGCTCCGCGCGCCCCTTCCAGCAGCGCTCCGCGGTGGTGGGCGGGGCGTCCCCAGGAATTGGTTTCGCGGTTGTTTCTGAGCGATTTGCTACCGGGAAAGAAAAGGTTGGCAGCAGCGCTCGGCGCTGGCTTTGACCTCCGTGCCATCGCCCATCCCTTGCACGATGCTGAGGAGCCAGGCGAGGACGTGACTGAAGCACGAGCAACCCCAGATCCCGCTGTTTTGATAAAAGCAACGAAGAGAAGTCATCTCTTTGTGCTCTTTTTACTTAGCTATGTACTAGAGGCAAAGAAGAGAAGTCCCCCACGTTGATTTAACTTAAGGCGAATCAGAGACCAGCTCTTTCTGCTGAAGTAGCTCTACGTGCACCTGGTGTCCACATAAAATGCCTGCATACAGTGCCTGTGCAGTTCATCCAAAATCAGAACAGAATGGAGAAGTCCTGTAGGAGAGCATCACACTGCAGGCAGGAGTGCCCTGCCTGGCCTTGGACCCTTTGCAGAAAAAAGAGCATTGTATTCCCTAGAGGATTTGCATACTCAAATTCAGCTCTTTTGTTTGCTTCAAAAATACAGGAAAACAAAATCAAAGGGTAAGTCTGAATCATCAATACTCAGTCTGAGGCTTACAGCCATCTAAAGGTATTGTTTGAGTTATTCACCAGTCTGGCAGACTAAGAATAGATTTCAATAATGAGTATTTGTTACAACAGCCACCAGTCTAGATATATTTACTTAGAAATCCATTTATTGTTAGAGGAGTCACTCTTAAGCCCTTGAAGTCGCTCAGCCCTTCGATAGGGACAAAGTTCTCCCACTCTCTTCTATGCTCTTTCGTAACAGTACCCATTTTGTTGCCTTTTTAAAGAACAAGATAAAGGCAATTTCATAAATAGCTAACCCCTAATCTTGTGCTCAAATTCAGTGCTTCAGACAGAACTTAAATATTTTGAAAATGCAGCTCCCTCTCTGAGGAAGCATTTGGAAGTCTTACTGCCTACACAGCTGGTCCCACAGGTCTTAAGATGGTTTTGTTACAAGAACCCAGTAAGTTTTATTCCCATTTAATGCAGACTGCAAATATTTGTTTCTTGCAACAATTTCTGGAATATTGACTCTGTCAGTATAATTTAATGAAACTAAAGCAATATTTCAAGTAAAACATTTTTTTATACTAGAAAATGAGAACCACCTCCTTTTTCCACCTATATGCTAGATTTACATATATCACAAGGAAGCCAGTATTTTGATACACTGAATATTTATTGTCTTTCACAAGACAAAATGAAAGTTCCCCTGCCGATGAAAAGCCATCAAGATGACGGTTAAAGGGACAGGGTGCAAAACTCCAGTGTACAGTAAACGCAACAAATGACCGCCCTGACTACCCCAGAAGAAAGATGATTGATCTCACTGCAACTAAAAACAAAACAAAAACAGGATTATAAAATATTTACAGAAAGGAACAGTACAGAAAATAAAAACTGGACAACCACGTGTGTATGAAATTATGCTAACGCTTTTCTGGCTCCTTAAAAATTGGCTCCACTACCCTCACCAGAGCATTCAGGATGTGAAAGGATTAAGGAAGAGCAAAGTCACCCTCAACTCCTATGCCCCCTCCACAGAGCACCACCACCTCCTCCAAGGAAGTGGGAGGACTCAAGGGAAACAGAATTGCCTTACTGACTGTAATTCCCTTGCTCCAAGTGGACATGCTAGCTGTGAAAGGAAGTACCTGGCTGCATCTCACCTGCAGCACTCTCTACTCAGAGCATACTGGCAAGTTAACCCATGGGTAGGGAACCCTTCCCTGTCATGCGAGCCCTTTCATTGCTTGCAGAAAGACCTCTCCTTCTTCCTCTGTGGTGGCCTGATCTGTGTTCAGAGGGCAGGAAAGCTGATTGGGACAGGTCAGAGAAGACCTTCCATTTCCTTCATGAAGGCTTCATACACATCATCCTTTGTCTGTACAGAGATAGGGGCAGACGATCCAGCCTTAGGGGCAGCTTTGGTTAATGGGAGAGCAGGCTCATCATCCTGTTTTCTCTGAGAGGCAGCCAAAGCCCCTTTATTCTCCCTGCGCACTCGCAAGGCAGTGGGCACAAAGCGAGTGATTTCAGCCTTGGGGTTAGTGATCTGTGGCTTGGCACTGATAGTAGCCGTGGCCTTCTTCTCAATGGTGGCTGCACTGGTGTCATCCGCCTTGGGACGCTGAATCAAGCTGGGTGGGGCACTCAGAACACCAGGGTTTGGAAGAGGAGCTGGTGGGTAAAGCCCAGGTGGGGCAGGTCCTAATGGAGGCACCAGAGGTGGCCGCAGCATGCCTGGGCGAGGAGGAGGGATACCTGTAAAGAAGAAGAGAAAAGGTGAGCTGACTCTTTCCTGGGATTCCCAAAAATCTTTGGGCAAAAATAACGCACAGGCTCAAAAAGCCAAAGATTGTCAAAGTGCAGAGGTGCTGGCTTTAGAGAAGTATTGCACCAGTTGATAGCTCCCAGCAAGAAGGTGGAAGAAAGTTGAATTAGGACAAGAAAACTGCTCAGCAGACTTGGGAAGCCACAAGAATCTGTATATTGCTCCCTTTCAATCTTCAAAGTTAAAATCTGAAAAGCTTCCTTAATGATTTATCCCACTGGAATTTCAAAATCAGAAGCACGACTAGCCAGCAAAACAAAAAAAATCACAACACACTATCTCCTATTCAGAAAAAATGCAGCACAAGTTTACAAGTTTACACACAGTGTTTACTGAAACTTTTTATTATAAGTGCCGGATCTGTTATTACCAAAATACACATAGCAGTATGGAATTGTTTGCTATTATACAGCAAAAGAAATGGCATCAAGAAGTACACCAGAAAGAACCTAAGAACGTACCCTTAGCTACACATACAAGAACAAAGGCAAACTGGTAGTAGGGAACTATTTAAAGTCTAAAGGAATATCTGATACTCCAATTAGATATACTGACTTGGTCACCACAAAAAGGTTATAGAGAACTGGGAAGACAAAGTAGGGAAAAGGTTGGCTCTGAAGCAGAGTACTTTACCTGGTGGGGCAGGAGGTGGCAGGCGAGGAGGGGGTCCACGTGGAGGAGGACCTGGGGGAAGACCAGGTGGGGGACCAGGGGGAGGGCCTGGGGGTCGCCCAGGTGGGGGACCCGGTGGTAGAAGTCGAGGTAAAGGCCCACGCAGTCCTGGTAAACCAGGAGGTCTCAGGAAAGGAGGAGCTCCTGAAAACATAAGAGAAGAACTGGTTCGTGGATAAAAGAACAATCCCACTTGCTAATACTAAAGATTCTAAACAGAAACTTCAGGTGTTCTCATACTAGCCAGCTGCTAGATTAAACAGATCTTTAAACAGATCTTCTAAGAAGTCTCAGGAAGAGGCAACAGTTGTAGAACCAAGAAAGCTTCTCAGTTATATTCAAATACAGATATTCGCTCCATCTTTGAGAAAGGCTTTTCCCCATGTATTGAAGCAACAGTTGAGAACAGCTAACAATGTAGGGTTATCTGAACTTAAACAGCTAGAAATGAAAGTATTTTAGTCTCTTCAGGCTGTGCTTCTGGCCTGAAAAGTAATTTCACTCTACTGAAAATAGCTGCTTTGAGGTTTGAGGTTCCCCTTCTAGAGGATGTCAGAAACAAAACTGGGGGAAGACGTTAAGAAAACCAGACTGACCATGGAAGAAACCTCACAGGTCTCAGCAAATACCACATTGGGCTTCTGTACTTAATGTCTAAAACTCCCTGCAGCTTCATAACCCCGACACCGATAAACTATCTGTAGTACTACGAGCCTGCATTCCTCAAAACAAAACAAATCAAATATTCACCCGGTGGAGGGCCAGGAGGAAGGCCAGTGGGTGGCCCTGGGGGCCTCAGTGGAGGGGCTGGAGGTGGTCCTAGTGGAGGCGGCCCAGGCATAGGAGGTGCCTGTATCTGACCCGAAGCAACGGCTTGTGAAGACTGCTGCTGCTGAGTTGAGGCTGCAGTAGATGACCCAGTCTCTGCAAGAGCTTCCTCACTGTGTTGCTGTTGTTGCTGCTGCTGTTGTGATGTGTCTTCAGACTCTGAGTCATCTTCCTCCTCCTCCTCCTCTTCTGAATATTCTTCCACTTCTCTCCCTTCTTCTGGGATTTCTTGACCTGGAAACAGATGTATTTATAAATGTCAGTCCACAAGTAATAACTTTGTCAACATAAAACACTAAATAAGAATGAAAAAAAGGAAAAATTCACCTCAAAAGGAAAGAAAACTGATGATATTAGTACACACAAAAT